ACGAGTGAAGTGATGAGGAAAAGTCTGTGCAGGCGCCAAGAGTGGGCGCCCTTCAACTCTTCAACGCCATGGTGAAGAAAGAGGCCAATCACAAAGGCCAAAGGAAGCCCAAAGGGGGCTGAAGTATGTAGACATCCTCCTCGGCATGAAGCCAACTCAAGCCCTTGTTGATATAGGGGCCTCCCACAACTTCATTTCGGTTGCCGAGGCCAAGCGACTCAATCTGAACAGTGTGAAAGAGACAGGCTGGATCAAGGCCGTGAACTCCGGGGCCAAGGCGATTGAAGGCATGACTCATGGGGTTGATCTCCAAGTTACGTTGTGGTCAAGCAAGATTAATCTTTCAGTGGTACCCCTAGATGACTTCCAAGTTGTCTTGGGAATGGACTTCTTGGCACAAGCAGAAGCAGCACTCTTGCCTCATATCAACTCTCTGTGCATCTTGGACGAGTGCTCCCCTTGCATGGTACCAGTTATGACTTCTACTAGGGTTCATGGGAAGCAGGTTTCTGCACTACAACTTTTTCATGAAGAAGCCTTGTTCAACGCCAACATGGAGGAAGCAGAGAAGTTCCCCACTCCACTAGCTGAAGAAGTCGCCCCTCAAGCCAACAACCTCAATAGTAGCAGGAAGAAGCAGGCCATCCAGCCATCTACACCTCTCCAGCAAACAGAGTTTGTGCGCGTTGACAACCACATGGGAGATCGAGTGCCACCCAAGCTGCTTAGGGACCACTTTCGCACCATCCCTCAGACTGAATCACGTAGTAGCCCTGTGAGTCACCCTTGGGGAAAAATTCATGGGAACCAACACCCCAACAATCCAAAACATCATTTTGAACCTTACTTGGCCCAAACCTACCCCATAACCAAGCTGAATCAGCCATTAACATACCTTGAGGCCGCCAGAAAAGGACTTAGCCATAGGAAACCTCAACAGAATAGGCCAACCCAACCATGCCACCAAAATATACACCTCGGCCTTGGACGACAGCCGGTTCGTGGAACAGCAGAAGAACCTTCCTTCCGCATCAGTGACTTTAAGGGACCAGCTGAAGCCAATCTTTGAGGACGTAGATCGAATTGAGTGGGGGAGTCTGTCACAAATGACTCCTTCACCGCGCCATCAAGCACCTATTGTCGTGCCATCAGAGTGCCTACAACATGCCTTCTTGGTGTCATCATGTGTGTCATGGGTGGGCTATGTATGTATCTTGTAAGGGGGGACCGCCAATGGCGTTATTGTAATTACCTAGTATGATTTTCCACTCTTTTGATGTTTTTTTATGTCACTCCCCCAAAAGCTTAACGTACTCTTTTAGGGGAGGTAGGTAGTTGAGTGAGCTCATAAGCGTGTAAAGGTTAAGCGCGAGATCCCCTCGACACTATACTGTGTGCTTGTGCTTACCACTGATTAATGCAATACAAGTTGCCTTTTGTCTAATTTTTGTGCTTTCTTGTTGCCTTTTGTGTGTTGTTGCTTGCATTTGTAGGCTTTCTTGACCCCATCGAGCACCGCACGGGGCCTCATCGATTAGCCCCGTGACAATGTGGTGGCTATCCACATGCTTACAATGTACGAGGAAGCGCGCACCATGTCATAAGTTTACTACACCAATTTATTTTATTTATTTATAATAAATATAAGGAGTCACGTCTTACTTCCATGTACTATGAATTAAAATGTTCGTGCATGCTCCGATTAGGCCATTACCATGTTCATGGGGTGAATTTTCAGTTCAACGTGTAAGTAATTGATAGCTATGATTATAACCCTAGCAAGTGCACTAGTTGTCAAGTAGTATAAAAATATCGTTCCCACGAGGATTTAACAAAATAAGTATTAGAACTACAGCCTTCCTTAATTATTTGGACAATCGAATTTCAGATTTGAAGATAAA